GCAAAGGAATATCTGTGTTGTATTCTGGTAAGGTGTTAAGAGAACCTTTACTTTTGTGTGTAGGTCATCCCTTTCCTGGTGAAAAATGAAATTCTTTAAAGCTCACAGAAGACGTTACTGTTGAAATCTTGTGGGGCAAAAATGTCAGTGATATAACATATCCAGATACATTTAACTTACTAAGCGAAGTGAGATGACAGAGTAGTTTAGTAGCATCAGAGAGATTGGTGGGAAATAAGGGATTCAGGTATATTAAGGTGCATAGTAACTCTGTGTGTGTGTGTGTGTGTGTGTTTTGCTTATTTATTTTACCTTAAAGTTTAATATAATTTTCTCCTGAAAGGACTGACTTTGAGTACTAGTGCAGGAAAATCCCAGTATGTATTAATGCCATTTCTTTATTCATTTGCCAATAAAACAGAAAACAAAACGAAACTGGGTATGTGCCTGATACTGTAAGAGATCTCCATGAGATCAACATAAAAGGCTTGGACTATTTAAACTATGAATTATAGACTCTTAGATATCATCCTAGTTCACTCAGACTATCAGTATCTTCTGGAGTCTATAAAGTCCACTTTTTATCAGAATAGCCAGTAGTCTCCATGGACGATCACCCTGAAGACCTGAAAAAGATTCTCTCTTCTCATCTCCCCATCCATACCTTCTGCCTCATCTTGAGTGAGTTGCCTTTGGTCAATCCATATCCTTTCGTGTATGAACCCAAGTTATCCAGTTATAAGGGTTCATTCTGGTTGTAAGTTTAAAACATTCCCCACGATATAATGGGAACATCATGTCATTCTCTCCTTGGGCTCTATGTAGAGCCAAGGATGAAATTATCAGGGTTCTTTTTTAGAACTCAGTCTTGGAAAGTCCGTCATAGCTTGGCAAACCAACACAAGAATTCTGCCAAAGGCTTTCAACCTCTAAGTCACTCTCACTGAGGGAGACATTCAACTTTTGATTACCTCTTCTGCCATAGCTGAATGCTGTATTCACCTGCACTAAGCATAACTCAGGTGGATAGTGATTTTCCCAGGAGCCCTGTTGGATGATGGCGAGGTTATTTTGAAGTGGACATGGCAGGAGTGGTACACAGCATTACCATTAGGCACATGATACTGATGCTTGTGGCCAGGATCCATCCTCCATGGCTGAAGTCCCATTCTTGGTTGCGTGGTACCCATGCAGTTCTTGCTACTGGATGTTAAATATTTTGATCAATCACCTGCATTCCCAATACGAATGCACTGCGTATTCAAATTGTTGTTAACTATTACATTTCTTTCTGAATTCATCTACAAATGACATCAAGAACATCTAACGATATTGCTGCATGTTTTATGTTAAAAGTTAGTTGTATGATGTACCTCTGAACCACTTCTTTTCATCTTACCCAACATGTTTTTAAAATACCTATATAGAAAAATAAATAAAATACCTATGCAGGCACCCTGTTGTTTTAAAAGAAATTTACTCAATTTGTCATGAAGTAAAGTTAATTTCACATTTTTCTTTCATTAATATTCTTTATCCTTCTAGACAGTTCTGTACTCCTCAGAATCTTGATGTCTCTTTTTACTCTATTGCTAGAAAAAGGGGGGAAGTGTTTGATGGGTATTAATTGGGGCCAGGCTCCCCAAAATCAAGATGTAATATGAAGCCAGGTAAGAGGAAAAAGAACAGGGAGCAGTGACTAACGCAGTTAGGATTTCTGTTTATCTTACGTGGGGTCTAGACATCTGAAACCCCCTTTAATTTTTGGAATTAAGAATAAGGATAATAGTGCCTACCATTTGTAGCACCTGATTCCTCTTGAGCACTGTTACACTTTCTACACAGTGGCATGTCTGAATCTAGGTGATAAATTGATCGTTGCGTTCATTTGGGTTGATTATTGCGTTGTGTGGTCTGATTGTGTGAGGAATTTGGCCAGACACGCCCTGCTGGCTGAGCCAGTCCTTCTTGTATTTGATGACCTGTGAAGGTCTGCTTTGCTCACCACTAACCCAAACCTTTCTTTCTTCTTTTTTGTCTTCCAATTTGTTTAAAGACTTTATTTCAACAGCTGTTACAACTTATTAGTCATCAAAATGATCAGTGGATGTGTTATAGTTTCTAGGCCGTAAAGCAGCTTCAATTGCTGAGTTACTGCCACCAGACTCCCCGGAAGGCTTTAGGCTTTCAGTTGGTAGTTAGTTTCTTTTCACTGAGCCGTAACTTATGGAAGGTAGAGTGGGAGAGGTATTTATAGAGGATCTGTGTTGCTCTGTTGCAAAACTTCTGTCAGGTGGCTAGTCTAGCCATTCTGGAATGAGAACTGGGAATGCTCTTGAGCAACTGAGTCAAGTGAGTGATCAGAGAGAAAACCAGCTGGGCCTTGTGGAGCTGACATTCCTGGATCCCAACCTTGAGCTTCAGCCTGGAAAATGGGGTGAGGACAGCTTGAGGATATCCCAAGTTCAGTGTAGACGGGGAACCAACTGGCCTATTGCTATTTTGGTGGGACTGTGTGTGTATTGAGAGGTGGAAGGCATGGAATAAAGTTGTAATTGCCACTGAGGAGCCTGCGTACCCTGGGCCCCCAGAAATAGTTCCCCGCCCCAAGAGGGCAGAGAAGTGAAGCCAATGGTGTTCAGATAAGGTAGCCTGAATGGCTTCTTGTGGCTGCTACATATTTGCACCTCGCTTGCATTTTGTATTGGTCATTCCCATTATTAAATCTTTCATAACATGTGAGACTCCTGGGGCAGGGGCTCTGCACTGCTGGGTCTTCCCAAAGACAAAACAAGGAAGCTTGGGAGTCCTGCGGTTCTTCCCCGCATTCTCCTCTCAGAGCCATACTCAAGAGCACTCTCTTAAGGGTAGGAACTGGGGGCTTCTGAGAGCTGTGTGCTAGAATAATGCCTGGTTCCAAGCAAGTGCTTGATAAATACCGTTTCCTAAATGAGTGGATATGTAAGATAAGGCATCAGTATATATTCAAGGTACTGGGCTCTGCTTTATTTTCAACCTTCTGTTGCCTCTGCTTTTTCTTCTCTCTTTCCCCATCACCCACACTATGGGCCTCCCAGCGCCTCATCTTAATTCTCATCTATTTGAGCCCACCTCCTCTCTCCTCTTCCCCCTATCTCACCCACCCCCAGTCATGTATGTCCTCCTTGTCTGTCACATCCCCAGAAGCCTGGGTAGGAATGTGGGCTCCTGTGACAACACAAATAGAACTTAAAGAGTGGACCTGGGAGGTGCCAAGCCCGTTTGTCCCTTCCCTTAGGTCCATCTGGAAAATCTCCTGGGTTTTGATGAAAACAGAAAGTATCAAATCTTCATATCCTGAATTAATTTGTATTTCTTATTCTGCTCCTTGCTGAACACAGCAGTGTAATTGCAAATTAGTTTTCCCTTTCCCCATTAAGTTGATCCCTTTTCCTATTGAAATATATTTGACATATAACATTATATTAGTTTCAGGCGGACATGTATGCATATTGAGAAAGGATCACCACAGTAAGTCTAATTACCGTCCATCGGCTCATTAGAGTTACAATTTTTCTTTCTTGTGATGAGAACTTTTAAAATCACTCTCTTAGCAACTTGCAAATATACAGTACGGTATTATTAACTATAGCTACCGTGCTGTACATTATATGCCCAGACTTATTTATTGTATTTATTATTTTAACTACAAGTTTATATCGTTTATATGTTTAGACCACTTTTACCCACCCCTCACCTCTGGCCTCTGGCAACCACCAGTCTGCCAAGAATCTATGATTTTTTTTAATATTTTTTTTATTGATTAAGATATTACATATGTGTCGAATCTATGATTCTTGAGTCGTTGATTCTTTAATCATCGTTTCTTCTAAAGGAGAGCTAATGGGAGACCCTGTGGGAGTCCCTGCTCTCTGATGGTAATGACACAGCCCAGAAGTCCCTGCTGCCTGAGCAGGAAGCACCGGGCTTACAGTGGCCAACTCCTGTTGGCTTCTTTTCATCACATGGCAGCCCCAGAGGAGGCACTGTTCCTTCTCCCACATGCCTGGGATTCCCTTCCATCTTCTCTCCCTCCTCCAGTTGCACCCTTATTCCCTGGATCATTATTTCCTCCCAGCCTCCTAGGCTCAAATAAGTAAGGAGATGGTGAGGGAGAGTGAAACTTCCCTTCAGGTTTTCCCTAGCCGTGTCCTTTCCTCTTTGGTCCCGTCCCTAGGCTGCACCAGATGGGGAAGATGCTTACTATTTTCCAGGGCTGATACTAGAAAATGTGCCCGGAACAAGGTTTAGAGAACACAACTTTAGAACTTTTGATACATTGGACCACATTTATTAAGTGTCTCTAAGAAGCTATGACCTCAAATTTTAAACCACTGCACAATTTTCCCTCCAAACCGGACAACGTGAGTTCTACATCAGGTGTGTTTGGTTCCTGTGGCTGCTGTAACAAAATACCACATTTAGTGGCTTAAATCACCACAAATGTATTATTGTACAGCTGCGGCGACCAGAAGTCCCGGTGGGTTTCACAGGCCAATAGCAAGGTGTTGGCCGTGCCACTCTCCCTCTGAGGGCTCCTGGGGAGAATGCATGCCCTTGCCTTTTCCAGCTTCTAGACGCCACCTGCATTCTTTAGCCCCTCTTCTACCTTCAAAGCCGGTGGTACCATCTTCCAGTGTCTCTGACGCTGATTCTGCACCACATCTGCCCTCCTCTGACCCTTCTGCTTCCCTGTCACATATAAGGACCCTTGTTGTTGCCGTCTGCCCACCCGATGATCCAGGACAGTCTCCCCATCTCAATATTCTTAAAGGGGGACGTCTGCAAAGTGCCTGTGCCATGTAAGGGGACATAGTTACAGGGCCCAGGGATGAGGGGTGGGCATCTGACAAGGGCCCTCATGCAGCCTCCCACATCAGGGCAGCTACCCTATCCCCTGGGGCTTCTCTAAAAGATGTGAATATCAAAGCACATGTTCTAACTTCTTGTTTTATTTTCAGATGCAGAGAGAACTTGTTTATGCCAGAGGAGATGGCCCCGCGGCCTCTCGACCTGGGTCCACAGCGCACCCAGCCCACGCCATTCCAAATTCTCCGCCCCCCACGCCCGTGCCCCACTCCATGCCTCCCTCGCCATCCAGAATTCCTTATGGGGGCGGCCGCCCCATGGTGGTCCCCGGCAACGCCACCATCCCCAGGGACAGGCTCTCCAGCCTGCCCGTGTCCAGGTCCATCTCCCCCAGCCCCAGCGCCATTCTGGAAAGAAGAGACGTAAAGCCCGATGAAGACCTGAGCGGCAAGAACATGGCGATGTACCGAAACGAGGGTTTCTACGCGGATCCTTACTTGTACCACGAGGGACGCATGAGCATCGCCTCTTCCCACGGCGGCGCGCACCCGCTGGACGTGCCGGATCACATCATCGCCTATCACCGCACCGCCATCCGGTCGGCGAGCGCGTACTGCAGCCCGGCCTTACAGGCGGAAATGCATATGGAGCAGTCCCTGTACAGGCAGAAACCCAGGAAATACCCGGACAGCCACCTACCCACTCTGGGCTCCAAAACGCCCCCCGCCTCCCCGCACCGCGTGGGCGACCTGAGGATGGTGGACATGCACGCGCATCACAACGCCCACGGGCCCCCGCACACCCTGCAGCCGGACCGGGCCTCGCCCAGCCGCCAGTCCTTCAAGAAGGAGCCTGGCACCCTGGTGTACATCGAAAAGCCACGGACCGCGCCAGGACTCTCCGGCCTGATGGACCTCGGCCCTCCGCTAGTGGAGAAGCAAATGTTTGCTTACAGCACCGCTACGATCCCCAAAGACAGGGAGACCAGGTAAGGGGGGCAGGGGGGTGGCGAGGGGGGGCTGTGCCCACGTGTTGTTGAGCGCTGCTCCTCAGAGAACAGATGTCAGCTGAGCATTGTGCCCTGCGGATGCCGCGGCGGGCTCAGCCGAGACCCAAAGGCCAACCTTGTCCGCGGCCTCTAAATTGTTGGGGGTCAAGTAAGGCAGAGCCACGGCCCTGCTCAAGAAGGTCAGACGCATCAGGAGTGGTCAATGCAGGCTCCTGGGCGGGGGTCAGACCGGGTCATCCATAACTACATCTGAATAATTTGGAAGAAAATTGTGGTTAGCAGAAACCATTCAGACCCAGAAATCCAGAGTTCATAATAACGATCCGCCACAGAAAATAAGGAGCGAGTGGCCCAAGGTGTAGCTGTTGTGTTTTTCCTTGTGTGGTGAGATTTTGTTTTCCCATCTGGTTTGGGGAAATGGAAAGAAGGTGTTACTGGTTGTCATCGAGAGTGATAAAACATGAATTTGCATAAAAATAGGATGGTTTAGATTTACTGCTCATTCCAGAGTGATACGGAGATCAGCAAAATTATCTGGTGAATGACCCCCTCCAGCCATTTTAATTTCTGTTTTAATATACATATTATTATAATTTGCCAGTCTAGAACCTTCCTACTACATTTTTAAAACTCTCCAAAGTTAATATAGTAAAAGAAAAGCTAATTTTGATAGAGCAGTGGTTCTCAACCTTCCAAATGCCGTGACCTTTTAATACAGTTCCTCATGTTGTGGTGACCCCCAACCATAAAATTATTTTTGTTGCTACTTCATAACTGTAATTTTGCTACTATTATGAATCGTAATGTAAACATCTGGTATGCAGAATGTATTTTCATTGTTACAAATTAAACATAATTAAAGCATAGTGATTAATCACAAAAACAATATGTAATTATATATGTGTTTTCTGATGGTCTTAGGCGACCCCTTTGAAAGGGTCGTTCGACCCCCAAAGGGATTGCGACCCACAGGCTGAGAACCGCTGTGATAGAGGGAATTTCTCTAGCCTGACTTGGTTAACGGAAATCAACGTAATAATTATAATCATAAAATATCTAGTCAAAAAATGCATCCCAAACTAGTTGTCATATAAATCCAGAAGATGTATGAAAAATGATCTACATATTTAATCATTCAGCACCTTATAAGAAGCAGTGTTACCTGTTCCTCACTAAAAATGGTAATATCACTTACTACTATTACATAAACTTATAAAAAGAAGGCCAAAATTGTGAATGTAATATGAATTGTCTATCTTACTTTTTCACACACAAATCAGAAAGCCCTGTCCTCATTAGCAGAATTTTATCATGAAAGGGCTGCCTCTCCTTACCTGTTCAGGCACAGCAGAAAGATTCCTGGAGGATGGAAAGGGAATGAACATGGTCGTTTGGGAATCATTAATACTTTAACAAAGTGTATGCTTGCACACGAGTAAAAAAATATACTAGCAGTGGTGACTGGCTTGATTATGTAGGACTAAGAAAAAATAAGGATTGGGAAATGATATGTATTCTCTGCTTTCCAAAGGCTGTAGGAAGTGAAATTCTAACACTCGAAGAAAGGAACACAGGCAGCTGATGGCTATGGGAATACTGAGGCTTATTGGAATAGACCAATGTCACAACTAGAGGGAAATCTACCAAGATGTGCCTTGTTGCTCAGAAGCTTGTGCCCTGTGCTTTGAAGAAAGGGTGACACGTCCTCTGGGGTGGGCTGTAAGGGGCTGGTGGGAAAAGCTAGTCACTTAAGGGAAGGACTTAGAATCATAAGAATTTAGTAAGGAAACAGTAAAAATCATTCATCTCCAGGATACTATGTGAGGGCTAGAATCCATCCTCCCCACCATCCCCGCCCCACCACCACCACCATGCTGACTCACCTTGTGAGTCAAAGAGAATTGAGAGCTTGGTTCCACCATGGATCATATTAAGCTTATTTCCACCCTGCTGGGCTGTAGGCACGTTTTGGTCAATGACAGTGTATGACTTCTTTCCCAGCATGCAGTTACCACATGTTTATAACTTAATGAGCATCACTGAGCCCAGGTTTTTCTTTTTAATTTTTATATATTTTATTATTTCAGAGAGGAAGAGAGAGGGAGAGAGAGATAGAAACATCAATGATGAAAGAGAATCACTGATCAGCTGCCTCCTGCACATCCACAATGGGGATGGAGTCCGCACAACCTGGGCATGTGCCCTGACTGGGAATCGAACCACGACCTCCTGGTTCATAGGTCAACGCTCAACCCCTGAGACACGCCCGCCAGGCTGAGCCCAGTTTTTTACAGCACCTAGTTATGGGAGGGAACAAAAGAACTCTCTGCTCTGTGGAGTCTTCTCTACATTGGATCAAAGTCATGAAGAATTTTAGCCTTCAGCAGTATCAGAATTCTTTTAGGGCCTCTGCTTCCTCTTTAGGTTTCTATTTTACCAAAGCTTGGGAAAAGTAGATGGATTTATGTTTTATATGTTAGAAACCCTTTTTAGAAAATCAAATGACCTTATTTCTAGAATAACAAGTATTAGAAAAATTGACTAAAAAAGAATAATGTTCACCTAAACTATACTGTCATTATCGCTATCATATTCTGACATATGATTACAATTATGAACATAATTTTACTTTTTTTTTATTCCCTGATATGTGAAATAACAGAGGAAGAATTTTATCTCACATCTGGCCGAGGTGATTCCTCACCTGTTAACCAGCTTATCTTCAGAGGGTGGAATTGGAGTTCTTGTACATGCATGAGCAGGCTAGATTCCCTTTTCCTGTAGGCCAACACACACGTGCACACATGCACACACACAAATATACACACACATGCACATATATCAGCATTTAGAGTCCGCATTACTGAAACACCTAAACATCCTTAACCCAGGCACATGACAAAAGTGTGTATAGAACCATTCTCTAGTAAAAAGTCTTGTGTCTGGAAATTTTGCTATCAGCACTCCCACCTATCATCCCATAGTTACCTAGATAGCCATACTTCCTCTTCTTCAACTGTAGTTCTGAACTCTTCTAGAGAGCTTAGTGACTGAGCTGCAATGTAGTACTATAGTACTACATTTATTTTATAAGTACTACTATTTTAAGAAGAAGAGTGCTGATGGTAACTAGCTTTTACTGAAAGCCTTTTATGGGCCAAACACTGTGTTAAGTAGTTTCTACACATCTTGGGATATAATCATCATGACTCAGTGAAGTACCGGTATGTACTATCATCATTTCAATTTTACAAATGCGGGAACTGAGCTCAGAGAAGTGAAGTAACTTGCCCAAGGTCACAAAGCCACTAAGTGGCATGTAATGTTCAAGTCCATTAAAGAATCCATACTTTTTATCAATGTGAAATATTCTGCCTGGTGCATAAGAACTATGAGTCCCACCTTCACTGAGAAAATAACTGAATTCTGAGCATTTTAACCAGAATTTTCCACAAATGTTTTCAGGACTAGATGCTAAGTAACTGCTCCTGAAGGATATTTACAATAGTAATCATGGTAGAATTTGCATAATTAACTGCTAAATATATACATGCCATTTAAAATATAGCTGCCCTAGCTAATACATTAGCACAATTATGAAGAAATAAGGAAAGAATATAGAGAACCTTCTTGGTAGATGTTATGTTTAAAACAATGAATGTGAGTACTATGTCCATGAAATTTTTTAAAAACAAGAACATAAAACACTTACTGAAGCACAAAATTATAGTCTATTATTTCACCTATACCGTGATGTTATTTCAGATATATTGAATCTGTGGAAGTATTTTTAAAAGAGTCTTCAATGCCTAAATGTCTAACTTCATGAGTATAGGGTCCTATAAAGTGCCAAACCAATTTCTGTTTCAGTTAAATGATTTTAAAAAGCAAATAAACCTGAGAGTGCTCTTTTTATAAAGCTCTGAAGTCAACTTTTACATCTAAGACGCGAAGCTACCGAAGCACGGGAGGGAGACCGAGAAGTCTGTGGCGATGCTTTCTTTGGGGCACAGCTGGAAACCACTG